GAGAAACAAGATCTGGCAGCATGGTGAATTGAAAGGCACACTAATTTAAGGCTCAGTATCATCAGCTGTTTGACGGCAAGAAAATGCCAAAGGTGGCGTCCTACCTTGAAACTAGGGGTCACATTCCCTGAAATTTTAAGGAAGATTATTTAAAACTATGGTGCTTGTGGTTTGGGAAATCAAAAATCCAAGTACAAACTAACAAAGAACAAGCAAAGAAAAATTTCCAAAGCTGTGAAACCTTGCTACTTAAGATAATGACAGAAATTTATGACCGCTTCCTTTCCTGGCAGAAAGGAGCACAATTAGAAGGCTGAAAACAGCAGGCCCTTTGTACCAGCATGTTATGTTTTGCTTATTCTATTATGCATTGGCTGGGAGATAAGAATAAACAGGACAACACCCTGTCTAACCCCAGGAGGAGGGGGTGGAGGGAAAAACTGGTTATGTTCATTCTTGGGCAAGTATGTGCACACTGTTTATTTGCAAATTGAGGTACTTAAGAAAATTGTGCACGTAACAGTCAGGAACTAGTATAATCATTCAGAAGTCTTTTTATTGCACAATCCAGTCTTTAACAAACAAGCTGTATGTAATAGGGAGCTCCACCATGAAATGCACTGAAGATATTTTAAGTAATTGGTAATTATTTCTGTAAACTTTTTTGCTCAGTCTCTAAAAGAACTTAAAAATGAGGATGAGCAAAAGTATAAACACAACTTCGCTCTTTGTGAGCTACTGTGTCAAAAAAGTTTGCAAGGAATCAACTAGGTGATCTGAGACTTCTTTCTTCTCTAAAAAGGGATAGCTGACAGTCTGAGTGCCAGGTGCTCTGGTAGTTCCAGCAACAGAGAATTCTGCTCAAGGACAACAGCAGCTAAGCCAATCAGGTTCTAACTAGCCAGTCATGAGACAGTATAGCACCTATGGTCCCAAGAAAACCAATACAAAATTGAACCTCCCTGCTGGCTGCCTTCCCACAACCTCTGGCTGCCTGAAATGATCAACCCCAACTGTCTTAGTGTCTCTCTCTGCTCCTCCTCACATGGGTATGTGGGTGGCTCAGCTGACCTAAGACCACCCTGATGATGTTACCTGTTCTATTCTGTCACTTACTTGGTTTTATTTTCTTCACAGTGCAGATCTCAATTACTTTTTTTTGTTATATACTGTTTTCCTCCCCTGACTAGAGTGCCCATTCCATGAGCAGAGACCTCATTAACCTTGTTCACACTTATAGGCTCAGCATCTCGGTACTACCTGGCAGAAAGTATGTGCTTGATAGAAATATATTATGAGACTGAATAAATGAATACTGTATATAAGCCAACAGTGAACAAATGAGCCAAAGAATCACACACAACAGGTAGAAAGGAAGTCAAAGCAGAATTTAATCATCTATAAGTCACCATCCTGCTGCCATTTTTTCCCCAGTTTTCCCAGTGGGACCAGCTGTGAAACTACATGTGAATGGTTGAGCTAGAAAGCAGAACTTTGGGCTTTCTGATTCTATTGCATTAAAAAGAAAATCACCATTCTGAAATAACGTGCAGAAAACTATCAAAATTCAAATATGGAAGAAGAGGTGTATGTTTGGATTTCAGCAAGGTAATTCTGCCAAACTAATTATGCCTCCTGACATGTAATTGTGAACTGCTGAAAGACAAATGGTGAAGCAAACCATTTATTATAAACACATATAGAGGTAAGCCTGAAGTGTTAATTTTTAAGCAACTGTCATAAATCTGGTTCCAGGGTATTATTCCATGAACACTACTGCTATTATAACAAAAGAGCATAAGTGTGACGATGTGCTCCTTTCAGGTATGAATATTTCTCAACAGGAGGAAATTAGGCTTGCTATTCAATCTCTATCTGAGACATGGAGGATATAAGAGAGCATTATGAAAATGGCAGAATATTCATTATACCAATAGGAAGAGAGCTGTCTGTACATCAAATACTTAGTTAAAATGCATTTGTGTCTTCACATAGACCTCATAGTGCTTGATCCAAGAAATGTTCACTCTATAGCTCCTGATACAGTAGATTCAGTCCTTATGGGAGGCAAAAGTAAAATGAAATAAAAACAGAAAGCCTGCACACCCTAAATGGGAAAAGCATGGCAATGGAATGGCCAGTGAAGTATCCGAAAGGCAAACTAGTGGTTTTTCTCAGAATCAGAACAGATTAAAGCACCTCCCTGGGAAATGTGATTCAGAAAAGGGTTGGGTTGGGGCAAAGATGGGGCCAGGAAGTTGTGGCTCTTGTTGTATAAAAAAAAAATAGTAAAAATCATGAAGTACAGTACTGATACTCTGCCTACTACTATGTCTGAAAAGCATTCCAAATTCTAAAACACTATGTATTATTTAACTTCCTATAAATTAATTGTTCATTATCAAAAATTCAAGTTATACAAATGTGTCCCTCCTCATTTCACTGAAATATCAGATTATGCTCAAAAACAGAGTCAGGAGAGTTTTAAACTTATTCATACAAATTCTGATACGTAACATTTAAAATCAATTTTGGACATTATTTAAGAATTGGGAATACTATCCAAAAATTTCTTTAATTTAACACAATAAGGATGTACTTGTTTTAGTTCATGCAGAAATGTTGACTGTAATTTGCCAAAAAAAATACTAAAATGGTATTCATTATAGTTAAGACCTAATCACTACAGAGTCCAGTGGTATGGAATTAAATATCCTGCATACGTGTTTATAAAACACGGACTTGGGAAAAACCCAGTTAATTTACCAAGCAATCCTGTGATCTCTCAACATATTATAACTAACAGGACAATGGGAAGTTTCAGTGTGGAAGTCTTTTCCTAGTCTTAGGACTTTCTCTATTCCTGTTTAGAGTGTACAGAATGACCTACTGCCATTTTTGTTCCAATTGCTTGACAGAATCTCAAGCAAAGCCCTGACCATAAAAAAAGTAGTAGGGTCTCAGTAGCCAGCTGAGTCATAAACCCCACTCAGCTGCATGTGACTCAAGGTGTTGGGATCCCAAAAGAGTCAAGCCAAGCAACTGGAATCAATTTAAGTCAGAGTTTGGAAAATCAAACCCCACCCCACTTCCCTACCCCAACTGGCAGTGGAAGACACCACAATCCTTCTCCCACAGCTCAAGTACAGAGACAGTAACGAAGCTCAGGAAAATATCTAGACCAGAGCAGACTTTATTTCCACAGTCTAAGAAAAAAAAAAGGATATTTGACAACCAACCACAAATTTTTAAATGTACAGTTCTCCTGTTTTTAAGGATAAAAGCAGTCTCTTTGCTCCAAAATTATCACCATCCCATTTTTTGACATTTATGCCCAGTACTATTTGGCCCTTGGGTACTTAGGCTTATTACTTTGAAAATACAGAGTTAAGCATGTTTAAATCACTTTAAATATCTCAAAAAGCAGCAAACACCCAGCCTACCTGCTTGGGCATGCAGACTTGAAAAGAGAAGCTTTACAGAATGGCCTGCAGGTCAACAAATTCTGGTCTTGGCAGACTAATGTTAGAAAAGAGCTATAGAAAATAAGGTTCTGCATATAAAAAATACTCTACCTTTGGTTCCCTCAGGCCAAAACTTGGAACTTTTGGCAAACATGCTGTGCAAAACTACAACTCTCATAAAGTGCTAAAAACTCCCAAATATGGTCACTTAAAACTGTATACAAATAAGAAACATTTAACAAACAACCCTTGCTTCACCAATAACTCTGCTTAAATTAAGTCCAGGAGACTCTTCAAAGGGACCAGAGAAGTCCCCTTGTTAAGACAAATTCTATACACAGACATGCAAGACAATTATATGATGCATGTAACCAAATATATATAATTAACCTAGTTTCTACATTCCTATTATCTTTATAAATATAGGATGAAAATCAGTCTAAATGACTTTCTCAGACCTCCTCAAGGATTAAGTTGAGCCAGCTAGCCTTTAAAGAGTACATGTACGTAGCAAAGATCAAAAGCAAATGTTCTGGTCAGTTCTTTTCTACTCATAGGTTTTACTAAGAATGTGTGCAGTTTTCAGGGAAAACACCACAAATGACAGCTGTTCAAAAGCAGGGAAATTAATTGGCAGCAGGAATTTCCTTGACTAATAGGGAAAAACTTAATGTCACATGTTTTGATGAGCTTGTTTTTCCCATCCTTAGTCAAGCATATTCAGTGTTAATGATTAAGTCAAGCAAATAGAAATATAACCAAGGAAAATCAGGAGTATATTATCTTTTCTCAGTAAAACATAGCTACTCATTACCAAATGAACAATGTGTTAATGAGGGATTTTAGCTCTAAGCAATAAAGAGAGAAAAAGTTCTACTTGCAGGTCTTGATTTTTCTGTAGGAAGTAAACCAAGACACGATAAGAAGAATGTGCTTTATTGTATTTAAAAAAATAGTAGGAAGACAAGTAACTCCTCTCACTCCTACCCCACAGTAAGCCATCTGCTTTGAGCTGTTTTTCCCACAGTGAGGATGGATTTATATTGATTCATCCACAGTCTCTCTGGCACAGGGGCTCTCCAGTCGTTGCCTTATGACCAATGGTGAGAATGGATGAGACAGCTGGTCAGGATTAGGCAGGCAGCCTGTGGCTCTGGGACCAGGTCGTGTTACTGTGCCCAAAGCCTGACACTATAACCTTGGATTCATTAGCATTATGCTCTCATCACCCAAGCTAACAGCCACTGATCAGCCATGACCCAACATACATCACTCTGGAGGCACAGTGTGTTCTCAATCTCCACAACAATGAGAGCTTTTCATTTTTCAGGAAGTCTGAATTGAGCCCATGACACTCACAGGCACAAGCATGATGGAATCTACTTGAAAACTGTCTTTCAAGGCCTCAATAAGATGTGCTAGAGTGGGCAGCATGGCCCTTCCATCTGAATCAAATGCCAGCTCTGTGGCATAGCTCAAGAAAAACAAGACATTGCCAAAGCATGTACTCCCAAGTGGCACAACAGAAAAACATACCTGGCCATTCCCAGACTTGAAAAGTTGGCAGGGACAATGAGTATATCCAGGCGGGAGAATGGGTGTGACCCTAAAACAGAATGTGCGGCTGAGAGGCAAGGAGGGAGCAACCGCAGAAGGATCTCTTGGCAGACTCCCTTGAGGCAGCCCGGAGCAAAGACTCGATGAGGAATGACCTTCTGGGTGGTGGCCGCAGCATTCTGGAAGCGGCAGGGGTACTCCATGTGACTGCAAACACCAACATACCTGGGAACAGCGTGAAAAACACACACTGGTCAATTGTGTTTATTCGTCTTGTGGAAGAGGTAAGGAACTCTTGCAGACATGGGCAACTTTTAGGAAACAGTGGTTCAGACAGGCTCCTAAACAAAAGCAGTCCATTTGAATTCTTGGCTTATCTGTTTCTGGACATTAGTGAAAATTTACAGGTGAAAATAATTATCAATGTGCTTGAATCAACTGAGTAGCTTCAATCTACTCTATGTAAAAGCAGTGAAATCTTGTTTTCAAGTAGACTAGATGGAGGGAAAACCTAAGACAATAAAACTACTTCTCACCCCTATAAAAACAATTTCTACCCTCAGTACTGTGCTTTAAACATCATCATAGGAAAAATCTTCCAATCAGGAATGATTTGTAACTCAGACAGGGGAGGGGCATGGCAGTCAAATTAAAGATACTATTTCAGGGCCAAGGATTTAGCTCAGTGGCACCACACCTGCCTCGAAAGAACAAGGTCCTGAGTTCAATTCCTGGTACTGGAAAAAAATAAAGATCCTATTCTGGAATTTCCTGGAATGAAAGACTCTCAGGTAGAACAATAAACCAAATAGCAGGCACAGGTACAACTTTTCAAAAACACACAAACCATTTTACTGAAAAGTAATCTAGAAGTTCTTTACCAAGTCGATCAGAAGTTGTTGGAGAACACAGAACGTCATCTAAAATCTAAAAGAACTACTTTTGATACAGTGTCTTCTCCAATCATTTTCAATACAAACTTAACTGAGACAACCTTTTAAGAAAACAGATCCCAGCCCAGCCAGCACCCTCTGACCACTGCCAGTTATTCAGTCAAAGGCAGAGCTGAAAAAGAATTCCTACAACCTGACTCACAGGGCTCAAGAGAACTTATTTAGGGCCGGGGATTTAGCTCAGTGGTTCTGCCACCTGCGAAGAAGGAGAGAAGTAGAGAAGGAGCGAAGGAGAGAAGGAGAGAAAGGGAGAGAGAGAGACAGAGAGACAGAGAGAGAGAATGAAAAAAGAGAGACAGGGGAAGAGAGAAAAGTTTTCAGAGCATGTTAAATAATACTGAAGGTGTACATAAATTTAAATTCTATGTACCACACAACAACACTGCAAAGAGGCATTCCATCTAGAAACACATAAGAACAAGCCTGTTTCCATGGGGGAAGATTATTTCCTATACCCAAGAATACCAAAGGTTAGAGAGTAGATGAAGGTAGCCAAATCACATCCCCAAAATCCCATTTGTTCAAAGGAAAAGGTGAATTAGATTTCTCTCTGGAAACTACATCATGAAGATGATTCCAGTTGTATGAATTAGCGCCATTTTTTACGGAAAGGCGTGGAAGAAAATGCAGGACTTTTAAGGCAATCAAGCTACAGGCAAGTAAGACCAGTAAGGCTCCCAAAGGAAATGTAAATGTCAGTATCATGAGGAAAACTATTTGTGGGTTCCTACATGGAGACCAGAAAACTTAGGCTTCAGTGGCTGTTCTCAGATCTGCGGCCACCTGAGCAGCTTGATACCTGGAGTCTCTTCTTCCTCATCTTCCCCATGGACTCACCACAGTGGCTGGCAGAGGAGGGAAGGAACTGATTGGAAAGGAATATGAGGGATCTTCCTGGGGTGACTACAGTTCTCTATCTGGTTTAGGGTATATACAATGGTCAGAAACTCATCTAGCCAAATACTCAAGATCTACACATTAAGCTGGACATTAATCAAACTTTAATTAAAAATAAAGAAGGAACCTAAAATGCTTTCTAAGGCTTCTTCTTCTTCTTCTTCTTTTTTTTTTTTTTTTGGTACCGAGGATCAAACTCAGTACCTTGCGCTTGCAAGGCAGGCAGCGGAACCACTGAGCTAAATCCCTGGCCCTTCTAAGGCTTCTTCTTGCACTATGATTCTACAACAACTCACCACCTCAGCCCCTCTTCATACAATAGCCTTGTCTCTGAAGAGGTACAAAGTCATCAATAGTGTTCCACAGATCCAGTATCAACTCAAAGATGCTTTCTCTTCCTTTCAGGGCAACTTTTCATAGTCTTTATAGCTCTAAAGAAGACATCTTTCCCTGTGAAGCCTTCTCTATTTTAGAATGAATAATCCCAATGCCTTTTCTTCTGCTTCACAGTGTCCATTTTCCCTGCCTTTAATCATTTTTGCTGAGGTCCTCTGGATTTTATCCAAGTTTCCATACTGTGCATAAGCTGTATGGCCTCAATAAAGCCCTTGAGAGGTTAAATATAATACAAAATTCCCTTGTGGCTGAAACCAAATGAAATTAATAAACTTTCGACAGTTTATCTGAGTGCCTTATAGCTAATGGATTTAGTGAAATGCTCACCCAGAGTGGGCTGGCGCACGTGTGAAACTGGAGCTGGCACAGGGAATGTTCCTTCTATAATTCAGCCCATGTAAACAGTGATCAAAAGTTCAGTGGCTGATCCTGTGGCCAAATTTCTGGGACCCAGATGAAGACTTTAGGCAAATGAAAGCCTGTGGAATACAAGGCCCCTGTAAAAGTTAGATTTACGTGAATTGAACCGGTGTTGTCAGGAAGGTCTGAAACAGAAAGAGGCCTGGGGAAGGCAGAGCGGAGCAGATGTGAATATAACCAGAAACACCCCTGCGATTTGTACTTCAGAGCACCTCTGTAGCCAAACCTAACACAGAGTCAGAGGTTTCATGGGTAAAAACACAAAGTCTCCTGAAGACTACACAGCACACATGAAGCATGAAGCCAGGGCAAGATTAAGTAAATGTAAACTATTATTTTATCAGTACATTTCTGATGGATAAGTATATTGATAAATGAAGGGAAACTATAGGCATCATCTGCAGACCTGGAAGGCAGAGTGGGAGGAGCCCCTGCTACAGGCCTTACAGTCCATAAAAAGACATACTACCCTAGAGAGGCACACTGGACCTCTCCCTCAGCTTCTCTAATGGGCTGGGCCACCTGGGCCTTGTCTTTGTGGACCTGCTCGCCCACACAGAGGGCACTTCAGGGCCTGCTATGCTACAGCTAGGCAGGCTGTGTATGGAGGGATGGAGGCCAGCAGCAGTCTAGCTGAGTTGATAACTACATGGGGAAACTTATCAAATTTGGAAATAGAGTATTAGAAAGTCCACTTGAGCATCTACTCAGTACAGCTTTTGTCAATAATACAACCTTTATGTCCATCTACTTCTGTCCATTTCCTCCTGTGGTTCTGAACATAGGAGGTCAAGAGAGGAATAGTAGTTATGCCTTCTCTGAAATCCCAACAGGAATTTTAGGCATCATCTCTTCCCAGAACCCCCATCTGATTTGGCCATGTCCTCTTCCTTTTGGAATAATGGTTGCAGGACAAGTGAGAGGCCCTCAGCTGTTTCCAAGCAGGAAGAAAAAGCATACAGGAAATTGTTGCTGCCCATTCCTTCACCCCTTATCTCCTGGGAACATGGCTAGAAGGCCAAAGTAACATTGCTTTCTCCTATCCTTTTTAAGGCACTCATTTTTCAAGCTCATTTCCTGAACAGCCAATGAGTCTTTAGATGAAGAACAAAGTACTTCTTCACCATGAAGAATTTGAGAACCCATGAACACGGTCTTCATTCTATAGAAAAGGAAACTGTACTTTGCCCAAAGTGCCATATCCAGCTGGGTGGCACCTTCAGGCTCAAAGGCTAGTTCTTGTTCTAAGACAATCTATTCCAGTCAGTATCAGTAGCTTCATCATGGCAGTGAACTCTCCAGGTAGGAAGCTGGCTCAGAATCCAGGTGGATGCTGTGTACAGTTTTTTAAAACCTGCAGGTAAGATTCTAAATCACCTTTCTAGGAGGTCAGACCTGGGTGTAAATCCAAGTATTATTACTTAGTAGAGAGAAGAATGTGACCAAGTTATTGTCTGGGCCTTAGTATCCTTATCTATAAATGGGAATATTAAATCCAATCCTTCTTATAGGCCTTTCCTTAGGATTAAATGAGACAAAACTTAGATCAAGACTTTTCCTGACTTCAGGCAACCAATAGCTTCTCTATCACTTCAGTATAGGCTAGGAGAGTGGTGCTGAACCTATGGCACATGTGCTGCAGCCAGCTATTTGTTTTCATTGAAAGCTCTCGAAGGTTCTCCATCCCTGGACTAGAATGTGTTTCAATAACAAAGAACCCCAGCATTTCGGGGCCTTAGTACAAGAAAGTTTATTTCTCACTCACTCATCTGCTGTAGATCCAAGTGACTTCTCAGGGTACCTGCCCACCCTGCTCAGTTCAGGCTGCTCACAACTGCAAAACAAAACCTACTCTGGGGTCCCAGTGCAAGCAGAGAGAGCAGTAACTAAATGTCCTCACATGAAAGCAGCATATGCCACTTGTGTACACAATTCTCTTCTTCCCTTAAGAGGACAAAAAATCTGATAAACAAGAATATTCTATATAGCTCAGGAAAGACTCTTCAAAATAGGCATTCCTTACTGAGCAAGAAGAGGAAATTAACTCTCTTCTGCCAAAAAAGCAAAATGTGGGAAGTAATACATGCCTGTTAGAAAAAAGTAACACATGGCTTTAGCTCCTAAAGATATCTACAGTCACTTGTGGTAAGATTAAAGCAGCATGACAAAATAATATCAACTCAAAAGGAACTTGCACTAAGAGTGGGTCCTGGTTGGTTTTCAAGAATGAACAGGCCATCTGTACCATTTCTCTGGACTGTCTCCACCAGAAAGAACTGGCTTAAAGGATTTGGTAAAAAGGAAAAGATTCAGTTGAGCTGGGTGTGGAAGTCTCCGGGATGAAGCATGATGTGTACTTCTGCATCCCTTCTGGGCAGTTCCCTCCCTCCCTTTCTCAGCTCTCAAAGCTCCTCCCTCCCCACTTCATGGGAGGCTGCAAGCAAATATCCAATGGCCTATATGAATTTTTAACAACCTCACATGGGTCTTCTCTGATCCATTCCAAAAAGAAAAAAATCAGCAGGATTTCCTGAGCCCCAATGGCTTGTGGCAGTTTCCTTGTGTCCTCTGCTCCCACTGGGGGAGGCATCCCCTCCAAGGCACTGCTAATTGCAGTCACCAGAACCAAAATGGCGGAGTGGCCTACAAGGCCATACATAGATGAGCAGCTTCTTTTTATTAAGTTTCTTTTTGAGCAGATAAGTACTAAAAACCAAAGTTAAAAGATGTAGGAAGAGGGAGAGTGGTGAAGCTGAGGATTCTTTTAAACAAACACATAAAAATATTTCACCTGACTTAACAGAGGATTTCATATACACTTATTTTCTCCTCTCTTTCTACATAAACAACATGCCCACATTTCTGCCTCTCCACTTTCTTTCTTCCTGGTCAGCCTTTTCCTGCTCTGATGAATCCTATTTTGGTTTGGTTTCTCAGCAGAGATGACTCATATTCCCAGAGCCTGGAAGACATGCATCATACTGCTGCTCCCTCAAGTGCTTGTTTTTCAGCAAGTTCCCAAACACATACCTGCAGTCAGTCTCAGAAAGTGGGAAGGGTCTCTCTATCATCAGATCATTTGACGACCACTTCTTGGGCACTACTTCTGTCCAGCATCCCACCGCGATTGTGAAGGTGGAGGCTGGCATCGGCATGGTAACATAGTAATGCCAGCTTGAGCACCCTACAAACAGAGAACAACCAGAATGAGGCCAGTGCATGGCTCTGGACCTTACCCTCTGTTTTCTTTCTTGAGGCACTTAAAGAGCTTGTGAGATAAACTGGTAAGGGGCCATTCTTAAAGGTGGGTCACATTAACTGAAGGAGCACAATTCTTGGTGACAGGGAAAACAGGGGAGAGATGATGGCTTCAAGGTAGCCAAACAGGTCTGGTGTCTTCCAGTGACCAGTTTGAAGACCTCAAGTGAAGCTAAACATAAAGGGATGTAGTAGGTGGTCGTGCACAGCTGCCAACAAGGAAGAACATAGATGGTGTATTCCCAGAGAGACAAGAACTTGTCTTATTCATCCTTATTGCCTGGCATATTATTTGATATAAAAAAGGGAAGCACAATTGATATTTGCTGAATGAATAAAGAAATGATCACTTTTTTGCTGTAACTAAGCTACTTTGCCTGAACTCAGTTCAGGTCTATCTGAAATGGCTATAGCAGAAAACTGAAACTAGGGAAAGAAAATGGTTGGGTTTTAGTCCCAACTCAGAAACTAACTAGTTATGGAGGTTCAGGTCCTATCCTTCACCTTTTTTTTATGATACACATTTTTTATTGGCATATGTTTATAATACATGAAATTTACATCTGTTTTGGGGGTTTGGTACATGTAACATATCTTGATCATTTTCAATCTCCTCTTTCCCGTCCCTCCCCTTTTCCTTGATTCCATATACTCCTACCCCAAAGAGCCTGCTTTTATTTTTACTCTTAAATTTTTTTTTTAAATTGGGCATCCTTTTAATCTGTTCAACTGGTCTCCTGCTCCTTACTACACAGATGAAAAACAGAAGTGGAGAATTCAGTGGGATCAAGGACTCCCAACGAGTTTATAACAGGGGTGGGATTACTCCAGGGTGAGGGTATACTCTCCCCACTTAGTCCAAACCACAAAGGAACAAAGAATTGATAACTTATAGTATAACTCTACTTCTCTCACTTCTAAGATGGGAAAATCATTTTAATGTTTCTGAAATCTAAATGTGTCACATAATCTTATTTAACAGCATTTTTGAGGATCTGCTATAAATTGACAATGTGTCTTAAGATATGTATGACTTTATATTATAAAACACATTTCTCCATTCCTAATGTCCAATGACAGGAAATTTGATTACAGTAACACATTTCTTTCAGCCTGCTTATAAGAACTATTATTCTCTTTCTTGCTTTAAATTTTATAGAGTTAAACATCTAGGGAGTGGCCTGTGATTGTTCAATTTGATGAGTGAGTGGATGTCAAATTCCTGTCCACACTGGCCAGCAACACTAACGTGCCATTTTTCAAAGTGGTTTTATCATTAAAAATCAATAGGACTGGGCTGGGGATGTAGCTAAGTGGCACCACACCTGCCTGGCAAGCTCGAGGTCTTGAGTTCGATCCCCAGTACTGCCAAAAAACAAAAAAAAAATCAATAGGAAGGGCCAAGGATTTAGCTCAGTGCTGCCACACCTGCCTCGAAAGCACAAGGTCCTAAGTTCGATCCCTGGTACCAGGAAAAGAAAATCAATAGGAAAAGCTGAATTTTGATCTCTATATTCCTGGCTCCTTTATCAACCAATTCTGAACACAAGAAAGGTCATTAGTTATTATCCTCAAACTCTAGCAACTTAGATTTAAAGAAATATAGTGTGGAATTCCTCAATGAAAAATAAAAATTTAAAATAGGAAACAAAGATGTAAGAAAAAATAAGTATAGTTTCTGATGAAATTCAAGTTTGAAAGTCACAAGAGGATATAACTGAAGGAGATATACATAGGGGCACATGCAGCATGCTGGCAATCTAGCACAGGGGCAGCCATTCTCTGAAACTTGCTTGTAAGTTGCATCCTGCTTCTGACATCAGGTGGCTTCCCACCCCACCCCCCTACCATGGCCTTCATACTGAGCTACGTCCTAGTCCCTTTTTTATTTTGAGACAGATCTTGCTAAGTTTCCAGGCTGAGCTCAAACTTATAATCCTGCCTTTGCCTCCCAGGGTGCTAAGATTACAGGAATGTGCCACCATGCCTGGCTAGGGTGGCCACTCTTGAGAGCCCTCTCTTTATAGCTGACTATCTCTTTAAAAAGGAGATCCTTCAACTTCTCAATCAAGTCCAGAGATGTTGGAGACATGCCAGTGATGTATATAGCTTCTATTGGGCCAGAAGCAAAACTATATCCTTAAAGAGAATCACTGCCTAGATCCCAAGCCACTTAGAAGTGGGAAGGAAAGTGGTTCTGCCGCCTGCCTTGCAAGTGCAAGGTCCAGAGTTCAATCCCTGGTACCAAAGAAAAAAAGAAATGGGAAGGGACAGGTAGAGAAATCTTGATAAAAGCATGACATGGATCTGACATGACAACCTATAACCACATCTACCTCCTTCATTTTTCTACTTTTCCATTAACTACCTCCTAGTAAGTGGTGCAGTAAAATGCATATCTTTGGGAATCCAGTAAATAAATAGCAATGGTGAGACTTCCAGGTGAAAATGGAGGCTTGAATGTAGAGGGCCACCTTTCCCTCCCTTTAAAACCCCCATTAAAGGACAGTAAAGTGAATTCTTTTTAAAGCCATAAACCAATATGAGCAGGGAGAATAAAATTGGAGATAACAGCTACAAGATAAGGAAGAGTGGCAAATAATATAGTAGACCTGCAAAGGGGAAAGATAAAACCGGCCTCATTTTACCCTCTAGAAGCCCCAAAAGGGTCTAGAGTAAAGTATGTGCTAAACTAAGCAGACCTGGATGAATGTCCATCTAAGAAGTGACTAGATCCAGGAGCACCCTCCCCCACTCTACACCTAGGCTATCTGTCCATCCCCCACAGACCCTGGCAAATACCAGGAATTTTATTTTTCAGAAAACAAAAGAGAAGACTTCTGTACTAGAGGAATGGGGAAATGGGGGAATAGATGGTATAGGTGAGAACAAATGAATAAGACTAGATGAGCGCTGCCATGGGCCGAGCCTGTAAGATGACCCTTTGCCTCCTCCCTACTCCCTTTCTCCTCCATAGGTTAGACCCTGGATGGTATAGCCCCAGGAGAGTTACATTATGTATCCTTCCCTGTTCCCTTCCTGTGCATGCCTCGATCATGAAACAACTATACTATGTTCCACCCAGTCCACGTAGGCCACATAGCACTATTTGCCCCACCTTCTCTTCCTGTTTGCCTTCCACTATAAATAAAGAGTGCGTGGTATTCCAGGCAGCCATTAGCACCTGACAAGCTATAGTTCCACCTGATCCCAACTTCAAGAAAAATCTTGGTCTCTTTGTCATCTTTCTTCATCTCCCACCACTCTCCCCGGCTTTGGACCCTGTGGTGTGCGGGTTGAGGCAGAACACATGCATATAGGATGCTGAGACCACCAGCCATCTCCCCTTGGTTCCCAGAATGTTAGTTGCTAAGTTGTGTCCCCCTCCTCCCAGCCAGGAGACTGAAGGAAGCTGATCACTCAAGAACAGATGCCCAGAGATATTAATGTTAGCAGTTTCCTATGATCAGCCAACGGGCAGTCTCATAGTAGACCAGACCTATTTATGCACTCAGAGCCTCTGGTCTGCACTGTTACCCTGTCCCTCAGGAAACCTCCAGGCACCTTTAGAAAGCTAAGAGAAACAAGCAACTTGGAAGACAGTGGTCACTTGGGAGAAGAGAAATTCAAAAAGCACCAAACATAGAAACATTGAGAATTACAAGACTTTAGCCCCAAAACAAACAGAGTATAGTATTTTAAAAGGGGATTCATTAGTTAAAAAAATTAAAAACATAACAGAAGAAAAGCTCAATAAAAGGAATGGTATAAAATATAAAGGTAAGGAAATCTTTCAGAAATAGAGCTAAATAGATAAATACATAAAGATTTGAAAAAAATAGTCCAAGAGGTCTAACATACAAGTAATAGAAACTACAGAAAAAAATGACAGTGAAGATAGAAGGAACCAAACCATCAGGAAGAAAAAAATCAAGAAAACTGCCCCAAACTGAAGGCAACATGAGTTTCTAGACTGAAAGGCCCAAACAACCCAGGACACCAGGTACAACTGACTCATATCAAGAAACATCATTATGAAACTTAGCAGCCTGAGAACAAAGCCAAGATCCTACAAGGTTCCAGAAAGAGACAGAAAAAGAAAAGATACATATAAGAATATTTTCAGATGTGCAGTTTCCAAAAAATTCACCTTCTACATACTATATTCTTTGCAAGTTAACAAACTATGTAAAGTATATTTGAAAAAAGAAGTAGGAAGACAGGTAAGCCAGGGAAGGCGAGAAGGAAAGGAACTCTGGGAATGATGGAGCTGTGTACCCAGCAGAGAGGGCAACCAGTGCACTGAGGCAGGGAAGGAAGCCTTGGAGGAACTGTTTCAGAAAGATGAAATTGAGAGAAACTTGATGGATCTGAGTACCTTGAAAGGAGATTTAAACAATTTTCAAAGTATCTAAAGTTGATAAATACATAGAAAGCAAACAATGGGAAAAAATAATAACATCATTAACTCTAAGAAAAAACTAACATGCAGAAATATTAACATTATCATGTTTACACACACATATATAATATAAACGCAGGATGCCAATTTAATCACCATCATGGTGTTAACTACATTGAGAAGAAAGGATTTTAGGAAGGTAGGTACTTACCTGTATGAGGGAGTTGGGGGAGGTGAGCTAAATCCTTACCTACCACAGTGGGAAGACCAACCCTGAACAAATAAGCATCTCATTGAACATAGAGAAAAACATCAAATAATCACCCAAAAGAAGTAAAATAGCAATTGTTTCAGAAGCAGGAAAAAGGGTCAAGAGGATGGGTACAGAGGACTGCTATTAGGGGAAGAAGTATAATAAACTCAACAGAATTATTTGACTGTTTAAATATTATATATATACAATATATATATATATATATACAATATATATATATATATATATATATTGTATATATATATATATA